CTACATATTACCATATTTCGGGCTACCATATCCCCAGCAAATCCAGCGTGACCGAAACTCCAACACAAACGCAAATTTTATGGTGTTAGTAACACACCTGTAATAATTTTTCATTGGGCGCCATCTATTGTTTTTTCGTGCGAGCTATCTTTCACATATGAGTAAGTAGTCAATCTAATCTTTTCACATATGAGCAAGCAGGCAAACTATTTGGTTTGAAAAATCACACGTTCTCAAAACTTCTGGGAGAATTTTTGATTCACTATTGTTTAGGCCTTCAGCCTAAATAGTTTTTCGTACTTTTGGTGAACCACCCTAATGCTGGCATATGTACATACATGTATATACACTCATACATGCTCGTATATATTAACAACAGCTAAGCCGTTAACTAAAGTATTCCCCTTAACGTCAGTTATTGTCCGGCGGTCCAAACTTAGAAACCGCAAATTATATTTTTCACTTCTCTTTGGAGATCGACGAGGACACAACGCAGCTACCAGGCCACTTCGTAAAGGTAATCAAAAACGCATTTGTATATGCACACATAGATATATATATATCACTGTCGACAATAGTTGATTAAAATAAACGGTGCAAAATACTAAATGAATTCCTTCATTTTTTTCCATTTTTTCTCCATAGCATAAATCACTGGTGCGTCCATTCGCGAGCCTTGCGACGCCCGGGGTTTTACATTTTGGTCCTTCGAGCCGGATCTACCCTGTTTTTGGCAATGGTCACATACAGTGGCACCGCAACTTTTTTATTGAGCTACCACACTCATTTTCCACTGAATTTAAATTGAAAAGTATGTTCAGTTATGTATTTACGAGGATACGCTTGTTTTCATATCTCTCGCATAAACTTTTCCAGGCTGTTTGGAAGCCTTCGTTGGTGAGTGGACACTTCTTCACGATGTCTTTGGCTTCCCCTTGAGTCTTTTGGTTGAGGTGAAATAGTTTCTCAACCGGAGTGAGGCGCTTGTTAAGGATGTATATGGCCGTGAACATATCACGAAATGATGGCCATGACAGATAGTCACCCTTGAACACATCGGTATCACACGGAGCTAGGTGGATATTGAGTTCACGGACCGACTGATCCTGTACATCCTTCTCTACGTTAACAAGCGTTTCAGACTGAGTCGCCATGGCAGACATGCATTTCACATAGCTGGCGAACGAGCTTTTATGTTTTCTCCTTATGGCCTTAATGTCTTCTTTCGATAACCCTTCTTTATTAATTGAAGTATCATACCCTTGTTTAGTTTTTTCCCACATAGCTTTCAGTTCGTCTTGCTGTATTGCAAGACCATGTTTATTTTGCTCTGCAGGTGGCAGGTCGATTATAGCCTCTGCCAAACGAATGAACGATTCCATGTTTAATAAAATTATAGTTTAAAAAACTAAAACCTCCCTATTATAATTGACATTCGTACTGTCACCAGGTGTGTAACTTGAGAATAGAAATCGCTGCATCTTTTAGGCGCATCAATATTACATAGTTACATCCCGAGCTAATAAGAGGAAGGTAAAAATGATACTTGAGGTCAAAATCAATAAGAGATGAATTCGATGATGTGCTTTTATATATTGTAGCAACCTTATTCTTCAACAAAAATAAATGCTTAGCTTATCGAATTTGTTCGCCCGGTATTCAATAAAACAAAAATTTCTGCCGCTGAAAAAGATGCCGCCAAAAACCAGATACAATTTCCGCAATTGAAAAAATAGGCGTTCAATTTATATTTAAACTGTTATTGTACTACTTTATTTCACTCAATATATTTTCTCCTTCAATTATCAGGGATATAAACAATTGCTTATCGTCCCGGGATATAAATAATTGCTTATCGTCCCTAAACAGTCACCAAATTAACGTTTCAAACTGGGACGCAATTATAGTCTATCTCTGCTCCACCAAACTTCCAGAAAGTACGCTGGCTCTATGGGAACAAACCATAGACCACAAAAATGATATACCAAAGTGGGAGGATATTGACAAGTTCCAATCCAACAGGTTTCAAACGTTGGAGACGTTATCAGGCTTAAAAAATTCCAAAACCAAAACAGCAGAAGCCTCCCCAAAACGACTTGGCGTTTTCCAAGCAAGCGTGACCAAGTTCACTTGCATAATGTGCCAGTCCAATGAGCACAAGTTACGCAGCTGTTTCCGATTCTTAAAGCTGACACCAACTGAAAGAATAGAGTTCATGAAAAACAATAATTCTTGCTTGAACTGTCTTAAGTCTGGACATACTGTGTCAAGATGCACATGCTCGTTTAATTGCAGCAAGTGCCACTCCCGACACCACACGCTCCTGCACCTTGAGACTGACCAGAAAAAGCCTACAGCGCACCAAGTGCCGGCAAGCT